GCCTCCCTGTGCCTCAGCGTCCCCATCTGAAAATGGGTGCAATCGTGTCCCGGCCCCGGAAGGCTGTCGTGTAAGAGGTGGGTAAGATGTGTGTGGCCCGCTGTCCAGTCACTGGAAGTGCTTAATGATCCGTGGTGAACTTTCCATGCCCCAGGCAGTGCCGCCAAGGCCCCTGGAACAAACACCGCCTCCTCAAGCCTCACGAGAGCCTGGGGGTAGGTCCTCGGACCAGCCCCATCGCACTGGGATTGCAATGGGGCCCGGAGGCCTTGGTCCCCGTTCGGCTGCTGTAACAGAATGCCGGAGACTCTGGGGCTTAAGCAACAGACATCTGTCCTCACAATTCTGGAGGCTGAGACGTCCAAGGTCACACCTGAACAACTTGCTTCTCCTCTCTGAGCCTCCATTTCGGGACCTACAAAATGGGGATGATAATACCTGCCCTGCCCACTTCTCAGGACTGCTGGGAAGGTGCGCTAAGGCCATAAAGAGAAACAAAGGCGTCCTTTGCTTCATACGTGTCCCGTAGATGTCCAGGCAGGGATGCTAGGGAGGAGGGGGCCTGGAGGCAGGACACTGTCTCGATGACCTGGGGAGTCTGTCCCAGGGGCCTCAGAACAGCTCAACTCCAGGCCTTATTCTAAATGGGTGTAAGTTCAGGGTCACAGGCTGAATCTGGGAGCCAGCCAGGGGAGTTCGTTTGCTCCCTGGGCTTCCTGGGCTCTCTGGGGGAGCTGAGGGCAGGAAGGGGGACAGACTGGCCACAGGCTCACCTGCCTGCCTGGGCTGTGATGAACCATGTGCCCCAGACCTCAACCAGATGTCCTGAAAAGAAGGGCAGGGAGGTAGATCCCTGGAGGGGCTAGGACAAGGGGAGCAGTGAGTAGGTGTCCTGGGGGGGCAGGAGGAGGGGTGGTGCAGACACGGAGAGATGAGCTCCACCTTCTGGAAAGCAAAGCGGTTAAGAGCAGGGCTCAAAGTCTGAGCAATGTGAGCTGGCCACCCGCTGACTGTGGGACAATAGCCTCACTTCCTCACCCTTACATTGGGAGTGACAGCAGCACCACTTCTGGGGACCTGGGGGGTTGTGTGAGCTGATACAATGAAAGTATTTATACAGTGTTCCGGGCTGTTCCAGGTACCCAGTCAACTATTACTTATCACCGCGGACTAAAACCAATAGAAAGTGTAACTAGATGTAGGCATGAAGAGTAACCAAACCAACGTAGAAGCCAGACCAGCTGGGTTAATACGGTTGCTGCCTCTGACCTGCGAATGTGACTCTGAGCTTCCTTGTGGCCACATCGAAAAGGGAAACATGATCAGTTGTAGAACCTGGATGACCTAGAATGAGGAAACAGCCCAGCCCATTGTTTCCTAGGGGAAACAATGTTGTTCCTTACCTTGAATTCTCCTGGGCATTTCTCACCAAGCAGGGGGCTTCATAAGGGGCACCCGAGGGAGGCAGTGGGCAGTGTCATGGACCAGGATATACACAGCATTGCAGATGTGATTTTCATGTGGAGCCCCTTCTAGGGGCCTTGAAGGAAAGGAGAAGGGAAGCCTGGGAAGGTCGCTCCGGGAAGGCAGCTCCATAGGAGGGTCAAGAACATGGGGCACCTGGGTGGCTCGGTCGGTTGAGCGTCCAACTTCAGCTCAGGTCATGATCTCGCCGTCTGTGAGTTCGAGCCCCGCGTCGGGCTCTGTGCTGACAGCTCGGAGCCAGGAGCCTGCTTCGGATCCTGTGTCTCCCTCTCTCTCTGCCCCTCACCCACTCATGCTCTGTCTCCCTCTCTCAAAAAATAAATAAACATATAAAAAAAAAAAAGAATGTAATGAAGGTCTGAACTCTTAGGATTCAGAGCTAAGGCTTAGAGAGCTGGGAGTCGTAAGTGGCAGGACTGGGGACTGCTAATCCCCCGGGGAAACAGGGGGAGCCCAAGACACTTCTCACTTGGGATCCTTGGAGGTCCAACTTCCCAGCTGTGTGGCCTTGGGCAGGTTGCTTCACCTCTCCGAACCTCAGTTTTTGCACCTGTAAGTCAGAGCTACCCTTTCAGGGCTGTAGGGAGCATGCCTCGCCAAGCACGTTTCACACATGCTGAGCGTTCAAATAAATGTTGGTTATGCGTATACGCCTATCGTGGATATATAGTTACACACACTTTTTCTCAGAAGCTTCCTGATTGTCTAAGGACTACAAATAGCTAGAATTTCATGGCTCTTTAGAATTTACAGTTGGCCAAGGGTTCATGGTCACTACATGTGACCCTCCCAACAACATGAGGGGGGCTTTCTTACCCCTATTTGAGAGATTGAAGAGAAACAAAATCTTCGCCTGTGTCTCCCTTGACCCGCCCTTGAACCCAGGACTGGGGAGGCCAGTGGGGGGACCTATGGGTCCTATGGCCTTCCCGGCCCCCTTCTACCTTTCCAGGCAAAGGCCATTTTAGGAGAGAGTGGAAGCCTGGGACAGAATAACAATAACAACAACAACAACAACAACAACAACAACAACGTGTTTACCCTGTTCTAAGAACTTTACATGCGACATTGAAACTTCACCACCATCGCATGATCCGGCCCATTTTACAGATAAGACAACTGAGGCGCAGAGCCGATAGCTGACTTGCCGGTGGTCACAGGAAGTTCGTGCAGACCCAGGATCGAGGAGCTGGCGGCCTGGCCAGGCCCCAGAGTCTGTGTCCTTGGCTCCTCTGCTGTACGGCCTGGGCTGGCACAGAAACGGGCTCAGGGCGGGAAGGGTGTGTGTCCGGATGGGCCGAGGGTGGACCTGTGATGAAACACTCCTCCAGGAGGACTCAGGGGGAGGGCACACGTCAACGGGGGACACTGATGAACTCAATTCCTAGTAGACTGAGGGGGCGGATGGACAGACAGGCCCAGAGGTTGTCAGCACCACTCTGTGCTGCTTTGGGCCCGGCCAACCCCCGTCCCTGCCCGGAGACGGTGAGACATGGCCTGTGACCCCGAGCCGCTCCAGCCCGGCCGGAGAGTCAGACATGACGTTATCTGTGTCCAGTGCCTTTCTGGAGACGCGATGCAAAGTGCTCTCCACCCTCCTCTTGGGGCTCAGACGCCTCCCCTGTTGGCAGCGGGGGAGGGGGTGCAGAGACGGCCTGGCACGTTCCCTCATTCTCTGAACTCCTAGCTGTCCTTGAAAACTCAGCTCAGATCCCGCCTGCCCTGAGAAGCACAGGACTGGTGCCCAGGCTGGGGAGCACCCCCTCCAGGCTTCTTCGGGCTTCCTGGCCTTGCCCCAGCTCACCTCTGTCTTGTGCCCTGTGATTGGCCGTGAGGTCCTGTGGGGCGGGATCCTGGGGAAGCCATTTCCTTGTCCCCGGCACAGGGAATGTGGACATGGTCATTTCTTCCTCGAGGACACGCTTGGTGGCTGTCATCAGACCGTGATTTCCGGGGCAGCGTGTAGGCATGGCGACCGCCGTGGTTCTGCAGACCTCGTTCAAATTCTGATTCCCCCACCCCCTGCCTGGATGGATGTCTTGGGCGAGCGTTCTCATCTCCCTCAGCCTTGTCGGTGCCCGTCATGGGGCCAAAGCAAGGGCATCCACAGTAAATGCTCAGCACGGTCCCTGGCCTCCATTGTTATCACGAGCACCAGTCACATTCCCCCCAGTTGTGGGGGGCGGGGGGAGCCGTATTCGGCCCACCTTCTGTTTGCATTCCAGGGTCACAGGAAGCCCCCCGGGACCCCTCACTGGGCACCTCTGGAATATTCTCCCAGCCTGCAGTATGGCATGACACCCAAGCAGGATGGTGCTTTAATTCTGAATCCCTTGAGCCCAGGGCCCTCAATGGGATTTTCCAAGTGGCTTTTATTTAATAAAAGCAAAAGATGACTTTTCTGCCATAAAATACCACCTCAAACCCATTAAGGACCAGTAATGCATTTATATGGTGGAAGGTCAGCGTTATTTATAACAAAGCATCGATTGGCAGTCTCACCGGCTGAGCTTCTGGTTTGGTTCCCATTCGTCAGGATGGGGAGAGCCTGGGTGGTGGAAAGTGCATGGGCTCTGGGCTGTCGGAGCCCTGGGTTCCAATCCCGCGGTCTACCCCAGGCCCTAACTGAATCACTAATATTTTTTGATCATGTGCCAGCACTGAAGCAATGTGCCGTATTTCTGATGCCTGTAATTTTTACACCCATTCTGTTTGGTAGTGAGTATTCCCATTCTGTTGATGACGAAACTGAGGCTCCGAGAGGAGAAGTTGTGTATCCAAAGCCACAGAGCTGGTAGGTGGCCAAAGCTGGGTTTGAACCATGCCCGTGAGACCACCTCCAAGACCTCCCAAACTTGCAAACTCCCCAGACTCTCAGTCTGTTCTTCCTTAGGTTGGGAAAATACCCAACAGCGTTGTTATGGGAAGTATGGTAGGTGCTCGGTGAATGCATTTGTGTCTGTCTCCTCACCGGGCTGTTGTGACAGCAGGTCTGTGTGTGATCCGCGACACCCACAGGGCCCAGGGAATGCCAAGTGAGCAGGACGCTTCTCTCTCTGGGCCTCAGTTTCCCAGATCCCCAACAAGAATCACAACACCTGCCTCAAAGAGCCCCTGGAAAGACAAACTAAGGGAATCATAGTTCTTGGCGCATCGTGGGTGCTCAGGACCGTTCCTTTTCTGTCTTCTGGGTGCCTCGAGTGTTCTGGGTCTGCCCTGGCAGAAGATTTGCATCGAACCATCCACATGCTCTCCCCTGTGCCTTCCCTGCACCCACCCCTGACTCAGAGTCTCATCTGTGGATGTGCTTGGGTGGGGAGGAGGTGGGGGTTGGGATGAAGGGTCCAGCCGTTAATCTGGGTTCACGGGGCTCTGTCACCTTCCAGCCTCCAACCTCTGCTTTCTCCTCTGTAAACTGGGAGTAATGACAATAGATTGTATCTGTGGCTCTGAGTGCACCCAACCCCTGGCTCTTGGACCTGGGTCCAACCACTGCCTCCTCATCTTTTCTGCAGGTGTTCCTAGCTGTGCCCTGGGACCGATTGGCCAAGGACCCCACTGGAGAGCTTTGGACACCCTAACAGTGAACGGTGAGGGACTTTTGCGGTCTGAACGAATGTCCAGAGGGCACCCGTGGGGGACCCGTGACGAGGTAGGGGCACTGGAGGATGCCAGCACAGCTGTCTCCTGGGGTGTGGAAACATGGCTGGAGCCACGTCCACAGCGTTTTTCACCCCTCCTTCATGGCCCTTAGCATCATTGCAGTTCTGCCATGATTTGAGGAGCTTGATGAATGTTCTCTCCCTCAGTGGACTGTAAGGGGAAGGGGAGGGTCCCCGAGAGGCAGCGACCATGGTTGTCAGGAGGATAGACCCTGAAGCTGGGGTCTGACTCGTGGCCCCGCCTCTTCTCAGCTGTATGACCTTGGGTAAGTGACTTCAGCTCCTTAGACCTCCGTTTTCCCATCTGTACCATGGGCTTTGTGGTGAAGCAAGTAGTTAAGCAGTCAAGATACTACGCCGGCCCGGCTCAGTGTCAGGCAGGACACTGTCGGTCTTGCTGGTGTTGGTCAACCTCTTAGAGCCAGTTCCCCTAACGACTCCTGTCTCTGCTCACAGAGAATGGGGGACAAGGATTACAACACCTCCTTCTCCTATGACGAGGAGTACTCGGATGATTTTGAACCCATCGTGGTTTTGGAGGAGTCTTCTCCCCTGGAAGGCAAGGTGACCAGGATCTTCCTGGTGGCGGTCTACAGCATTGTCTGCTTCCTCGGGATCCTGGGCAACGGGCTGGTGATCGTCATCGCCACCTTCAAGATGAAGAAGACGGTGAACACCGTCTGGTTCCTCAACCTGGCCGTGGCAGACTTCCTGTTCAACGTCTTCCTCCCGATCCACATTGCCTACACCGCCATGGACTACCACTGGGTCTTCGGGACGGCCATGTGCAAGATCAGCAACTTCCTGCTCATCCACAACATGTACACCAGCGTCTTCCTGCTGACCGTCATCAGCTTCGACCGCTGCATCTCCGTGCTCCTTCCCGTCTGGTCCCAGAACCACCGCGGCGTGAGGCTGGCCTGCGTGGCCTGCGTGGTTATCTGGGTCCTGGCTTTCTTCCTGAGCTCTCCGTCCCTCGTCTTCCGGGACACGGCCCACGTGCATGGGAAAACGTCCTGCTTTAACAACTTCAGCCTGTCTGCGGCCGGCTCCGCCCCGTGGCTCGCTCGCTCCGGGCTGGACCCCGCGGGCCTCAGCCGCCACACGGTGGTGACGGTCACCCGCTTCCTCTGTGGCTTCCTGGTCCCCGTGCTCATCATCACGGCCTGCTACTTCACCATCGTCTGCAAGCTTCGACGCAACCGCCTGGCCAAGACCAAGAAACCCTTCAAGATCATCGTGACCATCATCACCACCTTCTTCCTCTGCTGGTGTCCCTACCACACCCTCTACCTGCTGGAGCTCCGCCACGCCACCGTGCCGGGCTCCGTCTTCAGCCTGGGTTTGCCCCTGGCCACCGCCATTGCCATTGCCAACAGCTGCATGAACCCCATCCTGTACGTCTTCGTGGGCCAGGACTTCAAGAAGTTCAAGGTGGCCCTCTTCTCCCGCCTGGTTAACGCGCTGAGCGAGGACACAGGCCACTCCTCCTACCCCAGCCACAGGAGCTTTACCAAGATGTCATCCATCAACGAGAAGGAGACCAGCATGCTCTGAGCCTCATCCGGGAACCCCCGGTGGACAGGCACTCCGGCCTCGGAGGTCCAGAGCTATGCCTTCCAAAGACCACCGCAGAAACCCCCTTCAGCACCCACCAACGCCTGCTAGAGTTTACACGGGGCTGACCAGTGCTTTGAGCTGGGAGTCCAGGGCTCAGAACTCCGTCCTCCGAGGGGCGTGGCTGACCGGGCGGGCCAGGGACCAGCATCCCATGCTTCTTGGGAGACCTGCCTTGGCTGACCCAAAGCAAAAAAGGGAGCATTCTTAAAAGCGCTGCCATGAACCGGGATCAGCATAAGACAGAGGGATTAAGCTACCTATTCCGTGCTCCCCTGGAATCACAAACACGCCACGGGGCGTATTCCCGGCCTGAGCAGCAGAGGTCAGGGCCAACCCAGTGTGACGCAAATCGCTGCCTCGCCCCACATGCCTGTGTCACTGGCCAGCCAGAAATCCCGCCGCCCGCCCGCATCATTCCTCCGGGTGAGGGCAAGTGGAGATGCACAGGTTACCTGGGAGAGGAAGGTGACACAGGCACTCGCGAACTGCCGGGACCACGCACTTGGCTTTCAGATCAGGTGGGAAGACAGAGAACAGGTCCTGAGGAGCCCTGCGGGCTCCGTGAGGGCAGGACATGTGGGGCCTGGGGGAAGGGGTGGAGAGAGTGGTGACCGTGCTCTGAAGATGCGGGCCGTGGGGACGGCAGGCGCGGAGCCCCTCCTGGCGCGGCCATGCTGTCTTTTCTCACCTGGGACTGACGCCTCCCTGTGCCACAGTGTCCTTGTCCCATTTACAGATGGCAAAGCTGAGGCTCAGGGAGGGTGGGGAGTAACTCGCCCACTGACACACAGCCGGCAAGAGGCAGAGGTAAGATGTGAAGCCAGCTCCGTCTGGCCCCGGAAGCTCTGTCTTGTTGTTGTTTGTTTTCAATGGCTAATGTATCTATTGAGAATATTCTAGACTGTAACGGTAGCCGACATTTATTTAGTGCTCCCTATGCTAAACTTACTCCTCCCAGCAGCCTTGACTTCCCAGTTATTACTTCCCTTTTACATATGAGGTATCTGAAGCTCAGAGAGGTTAAGTAACTTCCCTGAGGGCGTCCAGCCGGTCCCTGCCAGGGCCAGCATTGGGAACTAGGTCTATCTGACTCAAATAAGGCCTCAGGATCAGGGTTTTGAGAGAGGCTTGGGGTTTTGACCACAAATATTGATTCTTCAGCAGATTAATCTAAACATTTCCTTGGCCTATACATCAGCTTTGCAAATAGTTTTTGAAAACGACCCAACATGGCAGAGAAAATACTCTTGGCCTCCAGTTCCCTCGACATCCATCCACACGCGCCCGCCGTGGTTCCCAGCTCCTGCGCCCCCTGAGACCTCCGGGAAGGCAGTGGGGAGAGAGAGGATGGGCAGGAGGTAGTCGTCGGTGGGCCGGGGGCCCTTGGCCTCCCAGTGTCCACGCTCTCTTCCAAACGCCATCATCGTGAAGCCAATCCTCCGACAAGATGCAATGAACAGATGTAATGTCTACACGGCGTTGGGCAAGTTCCCGAGGCCCCGGGCTGTTTGGAAATCACACCTCATTAAGAGACAGACTGTTCCTTCCCTTCTTGGGTCATTGTGCTTATGATGAGGCAGCTCTGAAGTGACCCTAAGCCAGGGCGCCCAATGGCTTCAAGAAATCTGAACTTGGACTGGCTGGGAGCAAACACAGGGAACTTTAAATATTGCCCCGTGCCCCTCGTCATCCCCCAGCCCCGGCCCCAACTTCACAAGTGAAGCAACGAGATGGCATGGGACGTCTTCCAGACCCCAGAGACGGTCACCAGCCACGCAGGCTCTGACCCCCAGGTGATACTTGTTCAGGCGGGTCCCTCACGCCTCCTGGGCCGCGCGACAAGCCAGGAAACCAGCTTGTTGGAAAAGCTGATGAGCGGGAGTAGAATTCAAACCAGCTGTTTTCCCCCTTAGGGTTAGGCCTCTTTCTGGCTGCCCCACCAGTTGTTCCCCATTAAATACTTAAATGCAGCCGTGGCATCCTCCTTAGTCTTGTCCCTATAGCTTCTTCAAAGGATCTCACAGATGCAAAGGTCCTGCGGCTCACACAGCGTGCGTGCCTGCGTGACTCCGCAGGCAGCCAACGTGCTCTGGGTCTGACTAGGCCTCCTCTCGGGGCCGGGACTCGGGCCGATGGGGGCGGTCATCGCTGCTTCCTGGGTGGGGTTGGTGGGCCAAGGGGGTCCGGGGAAGCGGGCACAGGGACAAGATCGAAGGTGGTGTTTGAGAGGGAGGGCTGAGGGAAGCACGGAGGAAATGCAGAACAAAGGTAAAGGAAGGGGTCTGGCATTTATTAAGCACCTACTAGGTGTGGGGCTCACAATCTCATCAGACCCTGACAAGGGTCCAATGTGAAGAAGACCATGAGAGCCGCCTGGGTGAGCAGGGCGGGAGGCTGGGCTTGCAGACCCCACCTGTCCAGGCCCACGCGGCCAGTAAACGGTGGAAGCTGGGCTTTGAACCAGGTCTGCGCCCTGAAATCCCAGCGTCTTGGGCCTATGGGAGGAAGGAGAGAGAGGGAGGGGAAAGGGGACAGAGGAGGGGGGTAAGCCAAGGGATGAGGGGGAGGGGCTCGGGAGGGGACAGTGACCCTGATGTCGTGCTGGCTGAGGAAGGGGTCTGCCTTAAGCCTGCCCGCAGAGTCAGCTCCGGAGGGCTTAGGCTGGGTGGGAGAGGATAGGACCAAACAGTGAGGGGCGCCTGGGTGGCTGTCGATTTCGGCCCAGGTCATGCCCACATTTCGTGAAATGGAGCTTCACGTTGTGCTCAGCTCTGACAGTGCAGAGCCTGCTTGGGATTCTCTGTCTCCCCCCTCTCTCTGCCTCTCTCTCTCTCTCTCTCTCTCTGTCTGTCTCTCAAAATAAATAAATAATAAATAAATTAAAAAAAAAAAAAAAAGAACCCAACAGTGAGAGCCATCAGGGTCTCTCCCATTTAACAGATGAGGGAACTGAGGTTTCGAGAGCCGCCCTTTGCTGCAAACCGAGGTGGCATTTGCTCGCTTGGAAGTGGTCTACAATTCCCCAGCTCTTCCCCCTCCCGTTCTGCCCTAGCGTGCTGTGCCCTGGCCGGAGCTGGGGCGCCCCGGGCCCGCGGTTGCCAAACCCTGGATTTGGAAAATTGCTGCCTGGGGATGCCTTCCAGGACCAGGAGGAACCAGGAAGCCACTTGTCCAACCGTGAAAGAATTGCTTTCTCCCTTTGAGGACAAAGTTGCTTTTGATTAGAGACTGAAGCAAGAGTGGGCTCCGTGCTGGATGTTCCTGGCCCCCAAGACCCCCATGCCTTCCCCGTCCACCTCCCAGAAGGGCAGGCGAGGCTCAGAGAAGTGGAGGACGCTGCCCAAAGTCACATAGCAGTGTTGCGCGGTGGCTGGAGGAACCCCCAAATTCCCTATCATTCCTTAAATTTAGGACTTCAAAGACACTGCATTTTGAAAAGCATTCCCTCCTCTTCTCTCAGTTCCTTAGCAACCAAGGACGGGAGATTGTCGGGGACTTACTCAAGATAACACTCACCCATCCCCCCCAACATCCACCCACCCATCCATTTACATAACCGTTTCTATAGCCACCCGTTCATCCATTCAGTGAAAATCTATTTCATAGCTTCTCCTTGCCAGGCCCTGTGTTAGGCACCAGGAATGCAAGCGTGATCGGGACATAGACAGTCTCCGTCCTCATGAGCCCATTCATTGGTCAGTGGGAGAGACAGCCGACGAGTTTTTAAAAACCACACCCTCAACGGAAAACAGCCACACTAAGTGCTACACACGCATTACAGGGAGATCCGACCCTGTCCGAAGACCGGGGAAACCTCCTCGGGGAAGAGATGCTGGCGTTGAGACGGGAAGGATGGGTGGGTGCTGATTGGGGGTGGGGTGTGGGAGAGGGTGGAGAGGGTGCTTCAGCGGGAGGGAACAGTGTGGGAGGAGAGAGTGGTTGCCGGGGACTGAAGGACGCTGGGGGCTGCAGCAGAGAGCACAGAGCAGACGGGATGGCGAGCAGGGCAGAGGGGGCCAGGCGCAGGGCAGGGCCATGCTCAGCCCTGCATATTTGCAATGATGCCCGATGCCCGGGGCCCAGCTGGGGAGGACAGGTTGGAGGAGGGCAGAAGGGAAAGCCAGGGGGCGGCTACAGCGTCCACAGGCGTGCAGTGGGAGCAGAGGTAGAGCTTGAGACAAGTGGACTATTCTAGAGATGCTTAACAGCTACCTGAGCTTTCTCAGGGGAGCGGTTAGCGGAAAGCCAACCCAGGGCCTGTTTCAGCTGCACAGAGGCCTCGGTGCGTTGCTTTATTGATGGAAATTAATTGTAAATATTATTCAAATTTACCTCCCAGTGCACAATTACATTTCTCAGGGGAGCCCTCTGAGCACATAATAAAACCCTATAAATAATACATATATTAACCTACGAGGAACAGAGGCCCATTAGTGCCGCAATTGCGGGTGGCGGCCGGGGGGGATTTATGCAGACAAGACGCTAGGTGCTTGGACTGGGGTTCAACTTTGGAGGTCATCTGACCTCTGTCCCCGGGATCTTCCAGAAGTCGCTCCCCCTGGGAGTTGGCCAGCTATCGCTCTGGAATCCTGGTCATCGGGCAGGGGGTGAGGGTGTGTGGCACAAGGAGAGTCGTGGTGAACGAAGGAAGAAACGCAGGCATCCGAGACGCTTCCCTTGTGCTCAAAGCTTAAAGACGGCAATACCAACAACATCAATAGTGGGTAATATCGGCTGAGCATGCCCCGGGTTTGGGTCTCCTCCAAGCACTTTGGTTTCATTTTCTCATTGAATCCTTAACAACAGCCTTTGCGGTAGGAGCCATTATATCCCCACGTCCAGACGAGGAAACGGAGGCTCAGAGAGGCGAAGTGTCTTGCCCGGCGTTGCACAGCGACAGAGCTTAGTAGCAAACCCCAGTGCGTCCGATTCTAAAGCAACTTGCAAGTGCCAAGTGTCCTCTCAAGAGACTCCTCCCGGGGGAGGGGAAGGTACACTCCCTGTCCGGTGTCAGATTTTAAGGAGGTGGGAGTGGGGTGGGGGGGGGGGATCTGGCTTTTTCCTTTCAGAGGAAGGAGACGGTGTCTGGGTGGGCTTGTTTCCTCACAGCCCTGGGAATCTTAAAAACCACATCCCTTCCCATCCTCCTCACTTACAGATGGTAAAACTGAGGCCTCTTTTCAAATGAGATGGGGGGACCCCCCCCCCCCACGCTCTCCCCCCGACCTCACTGGCCGCTGTGAGTGAGGTATGTGGGGAAATGCCCACGTGAGCCACTTTCCTGAACACCAGCATTCCAGAGACCCGGGCACTCACGGGCTGTGGTCTTCATGGTTTGTCGGTAGGGGCTTTGGTGCCCATCTGCCCTGAAGGACCCGTCTCCAGGATCCAGGGGTCACTGGGGCATTTCCAGCGGAATCCTGGCTAACCGGGAGGCAGGAGGCCTTGGAAAACCCTTGTACAGGGCAGAGACAGACTGCGTTTGGGACATAAACGTCATCCCTCACAGCTGTCCTGGATATGGGTGACAACGCTGTCTGTCCGGATCCAGGTAGCAGTTACGCATCCGTCCTTAGACATAAAACCTCATTGGTCTATGCATAGATGATTACTGCCCTTCACTGTAGGAAGTTAGGCCTCCATAGAAGTATTTTGAAGAATACGTCTTAAAATACAATTTGAAAATGAACTAATCTATGGCGTCTGCAGGAGTGACCCCCCCACCTCCTTTGGCACTCTGGACAGAACCGGGTCTGGGAGCATCTCTCTGATTCAAGAGAGCAACTCAGAGGGAGGCGGTCCCGGCAGGGTCCCTCCAGGGTGGCAGCATCTCAGGAGGGACTGAGCCCTCCCAGGGGTCGCCCCAGCCCTTTCCCCTGACTCAAAGGGCCCTTGATGGCTAGGACACAGGGTCACGGGGGCTCGGGCGTCAGAATGCCTGGGCTTGAATCCCAGCTCCACCATTTACAGCGTCTAGGGTTAGGGGTAGGGTGAAGGCTCTGTGACTTGGACAAGCCACTCAACATCTCCAAAGCCTCAGTTTTGTCATCTGTAAAATGGGCCTAATAAGAACCTGCATCCCAGGGTCGCTGGGAGCATTAAATGAGATGTCGCGCACAAGCACTTAGCAGCTGCCGGGCTCGCGTGGAGCACCCACTCTCATCAGCCTCCCCACTGGTCTCCCCGCTTCTGGCCTTGCCCCCCACAACCCACCCTCCTCGAAACAGCCTGAGTGAGCTCCCCTCACAGAGCGCAGCAATCCCAGTCCCTTACGGTGGCGTCCAAAGCCCTAGAGGAGCAGCACACCCCCCCCCACCTTCACCTCCCGCTGCTCCCCAGCTCAGGGCTCCTCCCTGCCTTTGCGCTGGCTGTTCCCAGACCGCTGTCCCCTCTTCTGTCAAGTTTCAGCCTCTCCCTTACAGACCCCTCCCTGCAGGTAAAGCAGCCCCGTGTCCATTCGCTATCTATCAGATCCCCTGTTTTCCACTCATCATACTACTTCCTTTCCATCTGGAAGAAGTTTATGCCGAGTCTGTCCCCCTCCTGGGTGGGGAGCTCCATCAGGGCCCCGGGGAGAGGGGGGAGACGGGGCCGCGTCTGCCTGGCCCACCTCTGTAGCCTCAGCTCAGAGCAGGGC